TGCTGCCATATACTCCGTGTCAGACCCTGACTGTACCTCATCTCAGTTAATATGCACAAGGGCCCTCTCAGGTAGGCGTTGTCATCCTCACTCTCCTGATGAGGAAACTGATACTACAAGGAGATAAGGAATTTGCTCAAGGTCACGCAGGGAGTAAGTGGCAAAGCCAGGATCCCAAGCCTTTACTCTTCTTAATCACTACACTAATATTTGGTTGTATAGGGACTGACAGATTCAGAATATTAGAAAAAAATTCAAAATAAAATGTGGGGTACTTAAAACTTACTGAAGAGAATCTATAGTTTGTATGTAAATTAGTTATTACTAGTTATGGGCCACACTTAATTCTGAGCATCAGAATATAATCAGTATTATAGCTTGTGTTTCTATTTTGTTTTTTGTTTTTTTTTTGAGACAGAGTCTCACTTTGTTGCCCAGGCTAGAGTGAGTGCCGTGGCATCAGCCTAGTTCACAGCAACCTCAAACTCCTGGGCTCAAGCAATCCTGCTGCCTCAGCCTCCCAAGTAGCTAGGACTACAGGCATGTGCCACCATGCCCGGTTAATTTTTTGTTTATATATTGGTTGGCCAATTAATTTCTTTCTATTTATAGTAGAGAGAGGGGTCTCACTCTTGCTCAAGCTGGTTTTGAACTCCTGACCTTGAGCAGTCCGCCTGCCTCGGCCTCCCAGAGAGTATTATAGATTGGATCAAAGATTGGTTTCTTTATGCTACTGTAGACCAAAGGTATATCAGCCCTTTCAGAATAATTAAAGTGATCTTTCTGAGGAGTCAGCAGGTGAAGTTTGTCAAAGTTCATGACAGAGCAGTGTGGATCAGCATGGAAGGAAGAGGCATCTAAGGACAGGAAGTTGGGAGGTAGCTCTTAAGAACACTGTCTGAAGATGATGTGATGGGAGGAGAGCCAAGTAGAGGGGTCAGATTGAGGTGTTGGGTGGCTTCCTGTTGAGGATATGTGGCAAAACCCCAGTTAATTCCCCAAAGGGAAGTTAGACCTGGTTCAAAGTGGGAAACTAGGGCAGGGGACTAACCAGGACTGAGAAGGAAGAGATGGGGATGACTGCTTGTTCTGCTTGTTTTGTGTCTGGGAGTTACACGGATGCTCAGGGCTGGCAGAAGGATTCTAGATGCCAGGAGTCCTGAGTGTGAGTGTATGTGTGTGTGTGTGTGTCTCAGGGTTGAGGGTCCTTGGTAGTAGCTGTTACAGAGGGATCTGTTTGTTTTTTTTATCTGATCCAGGGATTGAATTTCACTACTATATGATAGAATTGGGTCTGCTTAATATACTTCGTCCCTTTCCTGTGGTTGGTCCAGGCACCTGTGTGGGCATGTGTCTGCAGGTGATAGCATGTGGGCAGGACAGCCATCAGGCTTGAGCAGGAAAGCACTGGAGAAGGCCAAGGCAAATACTGCCAAAGACAGAGTTGACTTTGGATCTCTACAAAAATCCAGAAAAAACTGTGGTCCTATTTTCACAGAATTAGGCCAAAAAACACTGAATGAACAAGTATTACCCTCAGCTTGAATTAGTCAGATGGCTTATTTCTAGTTCACAACTGGCAGTATTCTTTGGAAACCCACATTTGGGTAGTGAAAATTGCACTTTCTGGACTAGACTCCTATAAAACTAGAAATGATGATGCATCAAAAAGTGACTTTATTATATTTTATCAGTAGACAAACTTCCTAAAAAATTTACATACTCATATCTGTATATAAACCTTTATCATAAAAGGACTAATATGACACTATTCTGAATCATGCGGTCTTTGCAAATAACAAGCAGGCTGGAAAATGTCTCAATATATTTTTAATTTTTGAACTTTTTCCCCTAATTTGAAAATTAGTCTATAAATTTTACAGTGAGAAGTAAGTTGGATAAATGTGTAAGTGACCAATTATACATTCTCATAGTGTTACTAATAACATCTATTTTTGTGGCTCCTTTTTTTTTAATCTACCCAAGATAATACTTTGTTCATGGCTTTTTAAAAAGAATATTATCAAAGGTGAACAAGTACATTTTATACTTAGGCTCTACATTTTTTCCTTTATGCACTAGTGGGAGGAGCAACTTCTAATGTGAGTCTTTGCTTGTGGCTCTTCCACATGGACAGGTTTTCAGAGGAAGTAGGAAGAAAGAAGTCTTATAAAATAGTAACATACTTGTTCCATTGCATCTTCCTAGCTCAGAAGTGAATGTTGTACTCCTTGAGCTTGTCAAGGCCTTAGAAGGCCCTTGGAGAATCTAGGACAACTTCCTCATGATCCAGATGAGATAGGGAGCTCAGAAGGTTGTCTAAAGCAACAATTATTAGATCTGCCTTGGGGGCGTATCCTGATGTCTTGGTGTAGAGTCTGAATTAACTTCCTATGTCAATATCATGCATATTCACCTGTCCTACAACTTTCTGAAGCAGTTTTTATTTTTTTGGTTTTTGGTTATTATTATTATTATCATGCATATTCACCTGTCCTACAACTTTCTGAAGCAGTTTTTATTTTTTTGGTTTTTGGTTATTATTATTTTTTTTTTGGTTTGTATTCTCAACTTTTGCTATTACAGTAAAATTCTTAAGAGGATAAAAGGGCAAGCCTATAAGGCGTTGCATCGTTTCCCATTTTAGCTGGATGATAGCCTCCTAGGCTCCAGGGAGCTCTGCCCCAGGTGTGGGCAATGAATATTTATCTAAAATCCTGACTCCAAGCAGTGCTGAAGGTGCAGAGATGTTGTAGAGATGGACTCTGTCCTCCAGAAGCTTAAAGTCTAGTTGAATAGATGACATAATCCATCCCGCAGACATTATCATGCATGTGTGTGTGTGAGGCAGTGTGGCAACACAGCAGTGATTAAGCTGCAGCCCCAGCTTTCTATGGAGTTTGTGATGAATGGTAACATAACAAATACAAAACAATGCAGGCAGCGCAGTGAACTTCCCAATGAATAGTATAAGCAGATAAGTAGTGCTCAGAAAATGGAGAAATCACTGAGCTAGAATGGCTTGGAAAGGCTTTAAGGAGGTGGTAGGCATAAATAAAAACTCCAAATTTGGCTGTTTCTTATAATCATTGAATCTGTTAGGTTCTAGAATAAAGCCCAAACCAAGTTTCAATTGAGTATAAATTTCCAAAATTATGGGGACTCTTGTGCTCTGTCTTCAGTGAGTCGCTGTGGCTTCCTCCTCATCCAGCTCTTCTCCCTCTCCCAAGTGTAATCCATTGTGCTACTCGGACATACTTCAAGACCAAAAAGTATAAAAAATTATTGAATGAAAATTACCCTTGCTTCCTTATCTCTGTCTGACTGCTCCCTCCCATCTCTTTTCCCAGCCACTGTCATTAGTTTCTTATGTATCATTGCAGAGTTTTTGTGTATATACAAGAAAATATGAATATAGATTCTTGTTTTCCCTCCATTTTTACACGAAGATAGCATGTTGTACTCAAGGTTTGATATCTCGCTTTTCTTCACTTAACAATATATCTGAGCTGGGCGCGGTGGCTCACGCCTGTAATCCTAGCACTCTGGGAGGCCAAGGTGGGCAGATTGCTTGAGGTCAGGAGTTTGAAACCAGCCTGAACAAGAGCGAGACCCCGTCTCTACTATAAATAAAAAGAATTAATTGGCCAACTAATATATATAGAAAAATTAGTCAGGCATGGTGGGGCATGCCTGTAGTCCCAGCTACTAGGGAGGCTGAGGCAGAAGGATTGCTTGAGCCCAGGAGTTTGAGGTTGCTATGAGCTAGGCTGACGCCACGGCACTCACTCTAGCCTGGGCAACAAAGCAAGACTCTGTCTCAAATAAAAAATAAAAACAAACAAACAAAAAAAACTGGCCGGGCGCGGTGGCTCACGCCTGTAATCCTAGCTCTCTGGGGGAGCCGAGGTGGGCGATTGCTCGAGGTCAGGAGTTCGACCAAAGCCTGAGCAAGAGCGAGACCCCGTCTCTACTATAAATAGAAAAGCAAAATTTATTGGGCCAACTAATATATATAGAAAAAATTAGTCAGGCATGGTGGTGCATGCCTGTAGTCCCAGCTACTAGGGAAGCTGAGGCAGAAGGATTGCTTGAGCCCAGGAGTTTGAGGTTGCTATGAGCTAGGCTGCCCACTCTAGCCTGGGCAACAAAGCGAGACTCTGTCTCAAATAAAAAATAAAAACAAACAAACAAAAAAAACTATATCTGGGAGAACTTTCCTAACGGTACATAGAGCACATTCTCATTCTTTTTGATAAGCTACATAGTACTCCACTGTGTGGATGTACTGTGATTTATTTAACTACTTCCCTACTGGTTGTTTCAATCGTTGCTATTACCAATAAAGCTTCAATTAATAACTATCCACATGCAGATGTTCCTCAACTTATGATGGGGTTACATCCCCATAAGCCCATTGTAAGTCAAAAGTTGACTTACATCTGTAAGTCAACTTTTTTTGGGGGGTATTAGATGTTGAAAGTACATCTAATACCCCAAGTGAAAATCGTAAGTTAAACCTTCATAAGTCAGGGACCATCTGTATGTCATTCACATGTATAAATACTATATACAGCAATGATATAGTTACAGAGATTTAGTGGTTTTGATTTCGTGGTCTCTTACAAAGAGAAGTATAGGTTAAAAGGATTCTAACACTGGCATGTCATTATTTTCTGAGTTGGATGTTCAGTGGGTCACATTGTAACCCAGAAACCTGGAGATAACCTGATAAATGTGCCTAATAATAGCAGATATTATTTCCTATCCCAGCACTTGTATTATAAATAGACATAACTTAGAAAACCCTGGATTTTGCTTCTCATTGGTTTTCACCAGAGTTACCTGGTTTCAAAAGATATTTATTTGGTAAGAGGTCATTGGTAGCATTTACCATCACTGAGCCTGGGCAACTTCATACTCTTAGAATTCTTTCTTTCTGGGGTGCCTTCCAGCCTACTGTGAAATTCTGAAATGCCACTGTGATCTTGTTTTTGTAGACGGGCTCATCTTCGCTTGTGCTTGGAGAAGTTGAAGGGGCTGGTGCCACTTGGGCCAGAATCAAGTCGACACACTACATTGAGTTTATTAACAAAAGCCAAATTGCACATAAAGGTAAGCGTTCCTTGGGATGCTTCTTTGTTTTTACCTGTCCAACAAGGCTTTGTCTGATGTTATGAGGGTCAGAAAAAATATATCTCCAGACAGTCGTCTCCTCTGAACTCCTCCAACATGGCTTTTGGATGAATCACAGGCACCTCAAATGCAACATGCCCAGAAACCAACTGAACATTTCTCACCCTCATGTACCAGCAGTTAAACGGTCCATTTAGCTCTCCATCCAATTGTACAAGCCAGAAACTCAGGAGTCCTTGATATAATAGCTTCTGCTCTTACCCATACATATCTAAGCTATCTCCAAGACCTAAATATTTCAAAACCTGGTCTACTTCCATTTTCACCCCACCATCATCTACTGTATTAAAATCCTCAGATACCTTCCTACATCCCTCTGCCCCCCTCTGATCGATCTGCTGTCTGTGCTTCCTGAGAATAGTCCTTCCGAAGCTCAAATCAACACATTACCCTGTTTAAAATTCTTCTGTGGCTCAAGACAAATTCTGTCACTGGGCCTGTCCCAGTCTCTGCCTGAGCTGGCCGTCACCTGCCTCTGCAGCATCGTCTTGTTCCATACGTCCCCTCTCTGCAACCCTTGCAGGCCCTTGTGCTTGTCATGTTGTCTTACTACAAGGCCTCTGCACTTGCTATTCCCTCTGCTTTGCACACTTTCCCCTCTTCACCTGGTTAACTTCTACTCATCCTTCAGATCTCAGCACGAGTCTTGCTAGCTCTGAGAAGATGTCACTGATCTTCCTGACTTAGTCACCTCTTTCCTGTAACAGGTCATCCTGTCATTGAATATCTGTCTCTCTTAGCACTTGTCACAGTTGATATTTGACAGTGGTTGGTGTGACTGTTGGGTTGTCTCCATCACTAGACTATAGACTCCACCAGGGAGGGGCCTGGGGCATTGTGCTCACCTTGTAACCCCAGCACCTCAGAGTGTCTAGCACAGAGTTGACCCTCTGTGTGCAGCTGAAATAGGAAAGAATAAGGTGAGTTGTATTCAAACTCCTGAGAGCCACAGCCAAAATTGCTGCTCAGTATGTTTTTATAGTCATATCTTTGTTGGACAAATATCACTTTAATTATGGTTAGTAGCCTGCATACATGATAATTCTGGGAGAAAAAGAACCTCTATTTAAAGCAAAACAGCTACAATTAAACAATCTTCTTAATTATCTGAAGAATATGAGAAGCTAGGGGGCAGATTTGTAAAAACGAGTAGTCTATGGAAATGTGTTTTCTCAGCTCTTCTGTTGGATAAATTGGAATCAGGACTTCAAAAGGGACTGTTATTTCCTGCTAACAAACAGAAGTTAATTGATAATTGAAATTTGGCAGGACAGAAAAAAGTGCTTATGTAATTGGGACATGTACTTGAATAAACATAATTTTAAATGGAAGTGGGTTTTTTAGGCTCCCATCATGTGCGTTTTCTAGTTCAGAGGGATGAGGTGCTCAGGGATCATTACAGACAAGAGAGACCAGGTTGGGGTTTACTGCCTGCAGTTGTTTCAATACCAAAATTGAAAGGTGCCAGGATGCCAGCGTGTCAGAGCTCATACCCAGAATCCTCGTGACAGGACAAGTACCACAGCATTGGCGATGCTCAAGAAGTTAGACGAAGCCAGGAGTCACTGGCCAGTCAACTTCCTGTCTCGGAGACAAGCTTGACAAGTGACACACCAAATGGCTTCTGAGGAAATCTGGCACATTTCGTCGCTAGAGGGGAAGATGCGGGATCATTGCCAATTTAGAAATCTCCCTGTGGGCGCCAACGACTACCCCTTTGACTTGCAGAAACTTGAAGATTGTGACAGAAAAGCTGTTCACCAAATAGACCAGCTCCAGCGAGAGCAGCGACACCTGAAGAGGCAGCTGGAGAAGCTGGGCATCGAGAGGATCCGGATGGACAGCATCGGCTCCACCGTCTCCTCGGAGCGCTCTGACTCGGACAGGGGTGAGCCCTCCGGCTGTGCCCTCCGCCCTCCTCTCCCCTGCCTGCCTCCCTATCCTCTCCCACCTGTGCTGCTCCCAGGAGACAGGGTGTAGAAGGAACTAGAACTTGCTTATGATTTAGAGAAGTTGAGCAGTGTGGCCTCCGGTGATAAGTTCCTCTTCCCTACTAGCAATTAGATGACAGTGTGCACAGAAGGGTTTGACTGGGGTCGGTTTTGTTTTTAGCCTCAGTTGTCTGCACAGCGTCTCCATCAGTGTCTCTCTCTTTGTCCTCCCTGCAGAAGAAATCGACGTTGACGTGGAGAGCACAGACTATCTCACGGGTGACCTGGACTGGAGCAGCAGCAGTGTGAGTGATTCTGACGAGCGGGGCAGCATGCAGAGCCTCGGCAGTGACGAGGGCTACTCCAGCGCCACCATCAAGAGAATAAAGCTCCAGGACAGTCGCAAGACGTGTCTCGGTCTCTAAGAGAGTGGTCGCTGCAGCTGCCTCCTCGAAGGTTCTCCCTGTCGGAGCTGATTAGGTAGTGTATTGGACCTGCCCACAACGCCCTTGCACGCAAACTTCAGTGTACCACCTTTACCAAAATCACCTTTGTACCCGTTTCCAAGGAAGTGCTTAGGATTGTGGGTTTCTGATTGCATCCACTAGCTTCTCTCTTTCTCTCCATAAAAATTCGTCTCTGAGAGACTGTACATTCCAATCAATTTGAAGCACCCAAGAATTCTTAGACCGAATAAGCAATTTTCACATCTCAGCAGTTTTCCTCTTCTTTACTGTCCTCATGTACTCCACCAGACCTTTCGTACGGTTTTCTGGCTTACCATGTTACTGCCTAGGAGGATTGTCCAAGTGTGTCTTGTGCTTAGGAAACTGAAGGAAACAAACTTTTAAAGTTGAGATGCTGATCTCGGAACTCCAAAGTAAGCTTTGAAAGCGGCATTTAAGAGCACTTCACCGTGGACCTCACCCCCAGTGAGGAAGTCAGGAATACCTCTAGAAACACACCCTTCCCACACAGCCCATGTGGATGGGAGCAGTATTTCTCACTTTAAAACGGACACCTTGATAGCGTGTCTTTGGGGGTTGCACAGCTTATAAAAGTTCCAAATTGTTTGTTCTCACAGACAAAACGGTACAATCTATTTTTGTGCGATGTTCTTGGGACCTTGCTGTGTACCGCTATCTCAAGGCACATTTTCCCCTCAAAGTTTGTTAATGCTACTTGTCTCTGGAACATTTTTTTTTCCTACCTCAGAGATAAATGAGATCTCCATTTCCCACTTAACACAAAGTGATTATGCCTCGTTTTGTTTTTTTTTTTTTCCAAATAAGTGACATTTGGTCCAATTCTAATATATTTTCCTATTTAACTTTCAGCAATAACTGAGCTTTGGCTCTAGCTGAGCTAGTGGCCATGATCAGTGAAAGAAAAAGTCCACATTTCTACTCTCTATGTTGCAGGTGAACAGGAGGGGATGGTACAGTGTTACTAGAATTCCTCTCCTTAGTGATTATTTTTGGACACACCCAGAAACTTCTTTATGGAGGCTTTTGGGTTGATAGTTTAAAAGGCTGATTTTTCTTTTTGGTTTTGATTTTTCCCTTAAGTGGTCTCCCACTTTGTAGCATTTTTATTTAAGCTAAAACAGAGCACATGTATATGTACATAAGACACATTAAATCTATAAATACTATTTATTCATTTTATATAAACTAATGTAATGGAAAATAAATTCTTATGACTTTGTGCTTTTATAGATGTTCTAGAAACTTTGTATGTAGGTATCTACAAAATTGGTTCATTCCCCTTAATATTTTTGCATTCATATTTTTGAGGTCTTGATGTTTTCAGCCTCTGGCGAATCTTTTTCATTGAATTTGAACCATTTGTAAAATCTGTGATGCTGAAGCAGAGTGTGTCACAAAGTGATGAGAACATTCCTAAAATCCACAGACGCACTGCGACCTAAGGGCTCAACGGCTGACTCGGCAGTGGGCAGCCAACCCGCTCCGCTGTTGGCCTGCTGTCACTAGCACACCACAGCCTCGCAGCTCACCCAGCGCCTGCACCTTGCACACAGCTAAAGTCCAAGTTCAAACGCACTCTACATGGAAGCTCATCCTGTACATGAAGAGCGAGCTAAACAAAGCAAGATTACTTTTGTGGGGGTTTTTTAAAATGATTCTTTAATGTATTAAAAATGTTTTCATTGGAAGTAGTGGATTCCTAAGTGATTCCAAAGTCATCTGTAATTCTTCTGTTTTTGTTTTGTTCTGTTGTTTTCTTCATTTCAGCATTGGGTGGGGGGAGGGGCAGGTGATACAAAGGATTTTTTTTTTTTAATTGTTGGAATCTTTTCCAATAACCAGCTGAAGATTTGCACTGAAATACAACTTGTATGCCTTTTGCATTTTTAAAGCCTGCTTCCTGAATTTAAGCAAAGTGATAGTGTTCAAAGAGCCAGCTCAGCCTGTAACACGTTTGAAAAAGATATATCTGCACTTTGAGGTCCCTTTTGAATGCCATTCGCTAGACCTCTCGAGTATTTTATTTCATTGCTACATCCAAGCGCCTCACAAGTCCACGAAGCTGGATGCTGGATGGCATCAAAAACTCAAGACTTTGGAAAAAGCTTGTGGGCTTGTATTGGGGGTGGGAAGGGAACAAAATATGTGTACTTCTTTGTTTAATTTAGAAATAAGGCATCTGAGAGATGCTATTATTTTCTGTGTTTTAATTGTTGTGCCTTTGAGTTAAACTGCATTTTTGTCTTTTGGTTGAAATATGAAATGTACTGTCCCAATATAAAACAGTAATTATTTGACCTTTGCACTGTTTGTCTGGTCCTTTTCAATTTGATAGCATATAAATGTGGAACTTGATAGATCTCTATATTTTTAATGCACTTGTGATAAACTGACACCAGGGTTAGACATTACTTTCAGAGCTCAAGGTAGACCGAGTCAGCATGCTAGACAGGCTTCTCTCTAACCAAAACTGTAACCTTCAGGACCAGCAAACTCAGCCCAAGGCAGCTACTCCCCTTCTCACGTGGCTGATCGGCAGCCCTGATTCGCCAATCTGTCCTCTCTCATTCACAAATCCACCAGCGTGACTGCTAAGAGCTATAGAGTCTTTTTGGTTGTTTTGTCTAAGCAAAATGAAAACCTTTCTATTAGGGTTGTTGGGGGGAGGGGATGGGCAAACGTATAAACCCCAGCCTTTAAGACTTTGACAATTGTACGTAAATATAGATGTGTATAAATATAGGCACTTGAATATTTTTATGTGAAAGTTGATTTTAAAAGCTAAAAAGAAATCTAAACTGCACTCTTATTGATACCATCATAATGCAAGTGGGAAAATAAGAGCACGTAGTCTAATTTAATTTCATGCAGTGAGAAAATATATATGTGTGCTTCTGTTAACATCCCTGAAAACATAGCTTTCCATTCCTTGGTGGCTTTGAATGGTGGGCCGAGCACCCAGGGTGTTTTATTTTGTTTTTTTTGCTAAGCAGAGATCTTGAATTCTTCAAGGTGCTGATAGCAACTCCTGGCTCCTTTCTCTAGTCACAGAGCTAATGCTAGTTTAGTGATTCGAAGAGCATCACATTTATGAGCAGGACCTAGATTCTCCCTGTCAACCTAAGACTAAAATAATTTCAGTGTTGATTCAGAATTGAGCATTAAGTAGTCCCTGATCCTGCAATCAGCACTTGTTTTTTGTTGTATTGTTTTTTGTTTTTTAAGTTGGGCATTTTCATTTAACCTCTACTTTTTCCACACACACACACAAAAGGGTCCTCACCTGGGTTTCCTATGGGTCTCTGTCTCCATCCTTAAAGTGGCCAAGAGCAAATACTGGGGTGTGAAAAAAAGTGTAAACTAGGTAGAATTGTGATGCTCAAAATAACTGTCTGGCAATATCTTGGGGCTTGATAATGGATTTTGTGGATGTTTTTCTTCTTGCCTCTTCCCCATCCTTTAAAGAGAGAACTTATTTTTGAAAAGTATATATATACACACACACATTATTGTTTAGGTTTTTATACCATACTATGTTGGTAAGAATACCACTTTCTTTGTGCTTTATAATCTATTTATTCCCCCAAATCTTGGTCTTTTCTGTTTCTTCTTTGTTTCCCCAAGTTCCTTTGTCTGCCCCTCTTTCCCTTCCCTGTGTGTTGAACCCCAGATAGTAAAAGGCTAAAGGCAATTTCCTGCATGTCAATCTATTATTTTTCTATGTCTGACTCTGATGCAGCATGTTTAGGTAGCTGGCTACTCCTGATTTTAAAACCCTTCTTGAGAGAAGACAACCCAAAGACACTTTTAGATGAGGTAGTTTTTCTCATTCTACATGATCAGATCTCTGTAAACTGTAGGATGTTTTATTTCAAAAGATTCTGGGTTGGGAGTGGGGTACAAGATGTGATTTATCATGATTTTTTTCATTATCAATATTTATTACATGGATGATTTTCTTGTATTCTGAAAGAAATAATTGACTAGCACTGCTAGGTTCAGCTATTGAATGGCTGAAGAAATTGAGTCTTTTTGTCTTCTCTCAAAATTATAAAATGAGAATTAGTAAGGCATCCAATTTTAGGATTTATCCAGATTTTAAGTTTTGATTTCTTATTCTATCTTAGGGAGGTGGTAGGTTGAGGGGGCATTCTTCATTTTAGCTTTTACCTGAGAACCAAACTTGCCTTTACCCCTTGTCCCTAGAATTGGTGCTCTTGGAACATTGCTGTTAGCCATCAGTTTTGGGGGGCCATCTTCCTAATGGTAAACACAGCCTAAAGAGGGGAGCAGCAGATGAAAGAGTGTGAAATTCTGTTTCCAGATGTTTGTTTATGTAAATATGACGCCAATGTAAATCTGTGTCAAGACCATAGAGAATGGTGCTTTTTACTACAGTTAGCACATGCATTTTTAGAAACTACTACATGTTTTAGAGAATCTTTGCTGTGTATATGTAAACTTCTGTATTGTTCAACTGTTAACAAATAATAAATTATTTCATTATTAAAGAAATTTTGGTCTTTTCGATGTTTTATATCCTACTTTATCCTTTCATAGTTTTTCTTATGGGACTGAGTTAATCGAAGTTATTTTCTTTTTTCTTTTTTTTTTGAGACAGAGTCTCACTCTGTCACCCTGGCTAGAGTGCCGTGGCGTCAGCCTAGCTCACAGCAACCTCAGACTCCTGGGTTTAAGCAATCCTCCTGCCTCAGCCTCCCAAGTAGCTGGGACTACAGGCATGCGCCACCATGCCCGGCTAATTTTTTCTATATATTTTTAGGTGGCCAATTAATTTATTTCTATTTTTAGTAGAGATGGGGTCTCGCTCTTGCTCAGGCTGGCTTTGAACTCCTGACCTTGAGCGATCCTCCTGCCTCAGCCTCCCAGTGAGCTAGGGGATTACAGGCGTGAGCCACCACGCCCGGCCCCGAAGTGTTTTTTCTTTTTTGAGACAGAGTCCTGCTCTGTCAACCAGGCTAGAGTGCAGTGGCATCATCAGAGCTCACTTGCAACCTCAAATCCTGGGCTCAAGCGGTCCTCCTGCCTCAGCCTCCTGAGTAGCTGGGACTACAGGCTCACACCACCATGCCCAGCTAATATTTGAATTTTTTTTTTTTTTAGACAGAGTCTCACTCTGTTGCCTGGACTAGAGTGCCGTGGCGTCAGCCTAGCTAACAGCAACCTCAAACTCCTGGTCTCAAGTGATCCTCCTGCCTCAGCCTCCCAGGTAGCTGGGACTACAGACATGTGCCACCATGCCCGGCTCTAATTTTTTCTATTTTTGGTAGAGCAAGGTCTCACCCTTGCTCAGGCTGGTCTTGAGCTCCTGGTTTCAAGTGATCCTCCCACCTTGGCCTCCCAGAGTGCTAGGATTACAGGCGTGAGACACTACACCTGGCTTTTTTTCTTAATTTCATGGAAAATACACTGACCAAAAGTTTTCAGCCCTTAGCTTCTGTGATGATGACTTAGATTGTGTGGCTCCAGTTGAGCGCATTTGTTGATCATAATTAGCCACAGTCCCATCCTCTCCGCTGCTGCACCCGCCTGTCTGCACGTTTCGCCTGCTCATTCACACACTCTCGCTGACTCACCCTTCGTCAGGGAGCCTCTGATGATGCAGCCTGCGTGCTTGGGTTGCAGGCACCACCAAGACTTTTCCTGTCTTTTGAGCAACCCACAGTCTGGTGGGAAAGATATGAGCACAATATAATACAAGGTAGGTAGCTGTGGAATAAAGTTGCACAGGAGAGTGAGAAATCACAGAGGTGGTGCGTTCAAGCTGGGCCCTGGCAGAAGAGTGAGTGTTTGCTGGGAAGGAGTGTTACCGGAAAAGAAAACAGCCAGTGCAATGAACCAGGTGTTCCAGACAGGGACCAGCTCTGGCGCTGGGGTGTGGCCCGGGGCAGGGACACAAGGCGTGCCGGGCACCCGTGGAGGGAAAGACCTCGTGAATGGCACGACTCACTGAGAGAGGCGCTCAGTTTAGGATGGTAGGTCTTTTACATATTAACCCCTGTGGTTAATTTATCTATTCATTGGACAAATATGGACTGAGCGCCTGCTTTGTGTTGGGGCTCTGGCTCAGAGGTGAGGACACACATCAGTGAACGAAAGGCACAGAAAGCCCTGCCCTCGTGGCACGGCCTCTGTAGCGTGAGTCTGAGCTCAAGTCCTTGCCTTGGTGTCTGCTGAGTGCGGCGCACCCTCCCCACTGTGTTCTCGCTGCCCCAGGAGAGCACTTGTTTAGAGACCAGAGGAAGGAAAAGGGTGTCTTTCTTCATGATTAGTGACTTCTTATTCTAAAAGCCACCTACAATTTTTTGAAAGGTTTTTATGGTGCCCTAAAAGGTTAACTGTACTGGCATTCAGCCTGCAGATCTGATGAAAAAGGAACTTTCTGGTACTTCTACTTTGGAAAAGTGGCCTGACTCATCTGCTTTCTCCAAAAAAGTAGGGGCAACTTGCTGGGCCCTTCTAGGATGTGTGAGTCTAGGATCCATCACTGCAGACAGGCTCCAAACTGAACCCACGAAATAGAGAACTGTGAACACCACCAACAAAAGCTGCGTTCCGCCAGGGCACCGGGATGCCTTGTTTACCGTGGTTGAGGAGAGGAAGCTTTGAAGTGCAGATAATTATAAAGACAGCTTTCACGTAAAGATAGCCTCCCCCACACGATGACACATCTTATTTCCAAAGTTTCCCCACTTTGTTCACAGTAGCCCGATGAAAAAGTATCTTTTGTTCTGCTGCATGGGCCCATGTCATGGTGACAGGTCGCACGGACTGGGTGCTTACTAAGTGCTGGGTGCTCGGCTGCAGGGCCTTGGCGAATCCTCACGTTAACCCTGGGAGGTGACTACCGTCATTATCCCCCTTTTACAGATGAGAAAACTGAGGAAGAGAGGGTGGACATGTTGCCCCAAGTCCACAGAGCTGGTGAGGGGCGGGCCCGGAAACCTCAGCAGTCCGACTCAAGCCCCCACTCCCTTGCCTCAATTTTTGCAAGAGCTGTGTCACTCATCAGTGTTCCATATATGGCATCTTTTTCTTTTCAAGCCTTTGAATGAGGCTACCTATTTTCTATGGAGGGGCCCTTGGATTCCACATAGTGGAGCAGAAAACTGGGAACCCACAAGACTGTTACTGAGTCATTGCCGTCCCCTCAATCTTAACCCCCCTCTGTGCCTCTGTGAAGAAGATCCCCCTCGCCCACCCACTGCTGACCCTCAGTAAGCCAGTGCGCTCTTAGAGGAAGACATTCTTTCTGTACCGCGTCTTTTTGGTTGGGGCCCGGCGACACCACTCATTTATCCAACCAGGGTTTAGACCTTCCACTTAGGCCTCGGGGTCCCCATTATCTAGTGCCACTTTGGTGCACCTCTTAGGTGTTACTGTGACCTAGATGAGAAGGGACACACCAAGGCTCTTTGCCAAAGACTATGGGAGGTGGCCCTGTTCCATCGCCCACGTGGGCCTTCCCATCACAAAAGACATTCAGCTTCCAATGGCCGAAGGTCCCATGGCAGGGTCTCCACAGGAAGTATTCAGGGTTCAGCCCAAACTGGGTGGCCAGTCAGCTGTCTGCCATCTCTGCTTCATGCAGAAGTCTGGGGCCATTGCATCTCAGGGCGTCCTTGTGGGGACTCGATGAGACAGAGGGGTGACTGCTGGCCAGGGGTGAACATGCTGCCTAGAGGGGAAAGCAGCTTTATTCTGGGCCAGAGTGATTAACCCCCTTTCAGCAAGACAGAGGGCAGGCTCTGACTGGCTGGCGCTTCCAGGAGCCCCCCACTGTGGTGAAGGCAGCATGTCTGGTGACGACGGGCTCAGGATGTGGCGGGACGGCTGGGCCCTCCAATCTGAAGGGGCAGCCGAGGCAAGAGCCGGCACAGAAGCAGAGGTTACATGTGCACCCGAGGCCAAGTCAGAGCTGGTGGACTGGGGGCGTGTTGGAGCTAGAGAGGCCCACTGAGGCCCTGGAGGAAAGTGGAGGCCTTTTATAGGATGCTCTTGGCCTCACCTGGGGGCAGAGGTGAGGATGACAGTCAAGGCAGGGAGCTCTGTGTCTGAAACACGTCTGTCTTCAAGGAAACCCATGGGCCTGGGAGAGAAGGCACCTGGACAGGGACAGGGCAAAGGGAGAAAGGCACTGGCCCAGCCGACCCTGTTGGCCACCTCAGTGGCCGGGCTGGGTGACTCCTGCAGAGGCTCCCTGGCCCAGTGGGCAGGGAGCCTCAGCATCTGCTGGGGAGTCCATTTAGTTAAAAACAGAACTTCCAACAAGCTCTTGTCTTGCCTTGCTGGCATCCTGACCCCGCAGAAGGTAGAAAGCACTGTCACCGTGGAGCAGTGGAGCCAACTCTGACCTGCAGAGATGAGTGGGCCGGCCACGTGGCATGCGAGGAGCCCATGTCCCTTAGATACCCAGGAGGTGGTCCTGGGCGATGCCCAGCTGCAGATGGATCAAAGGGGCAATGCCAGCTCCACCCTCCGCACTCTGGGTGACCAGGGCAAGTGTCTTGAGCTCTATTTTCCTGATCTGTAGAGTGAGGATAATTATAGCCCTTACTTCCCAGGACTGTTGGGGGCATTGAGTGAGATAAAGTGTGCAAAGAGCTTATCTCAGCGTCCAATATGCAGAAAGCATTCGATACGTATGATCATAATTATGGTCATTTTACTAGGCAAGGAGAGAAAGTTGGAGCACTGTCAGGCATGTGTCTTGGATCTTCAGAATCCAAAATTCCCCTGGAGAGGGACTAAGCCTGGAAAGGAAAATTACATCCGAGGCTGGGGGGGTGTTCAAATATGTCCTTCTGACTGTGCTATTTAGACAACAAATAGTGAGCAGGAAGTGGTTAAACTGAAAGGAGGAGCAGAGGAGAGGGTGACTCAGGGACAGAACGTGGACATTGGCAGCGGGGGAGGGGAGCATTTTCCAGGTGGTACCTCCAGTTGGCGCTGTTCAGAAAGTCAAAACAAACCCTAAGACCCCACCTGCCCTGCAGGGCAGCTCAGAGACTCCCCTTAAAGAGAACCCAGGTAGTATAGAAGTGGCTGAGAGAGACAGAAAGAAAAATATCCTTGCTAAAATGCCTGCATTTTGCAAGTATCTCATTAGAAGAGTTTTATGATGCTTAAGTTCCAGTATTCACATGTATCTTTCCAACGGCAAGTTCAGAATAACAGTAGGTAGAGCTCTAGCCAGGTAATAAATGATGCCTCCACACTGCGACCTGAACTCTGAGTAACTGCAGAGGCTGTGACAATTTTTTGCTACTTTGCAGTTAAAAGCCTTTGTCAAAGAAGGTACCAGTTAAGTTCAGACTGGCACAGGGCTCAGAAGAGGAATCAGTGGAAATAGATAATCAGGCTAGGACCTGGGTGAGGCCAAGCTTTCTCTTTGCTACACTTAGAGCCTTTAACTGCAGGCAATACTATTTTTTGGAACTCATTGTCAGAATCCCATTGCTTCCCCTGGAAGAATGGGTGTGTGTTTACCTCAG